AACCCAAACCATTCCATGATTCCCACCTGGCGGCCTTAAATGTGGGATAAAATGGCATTCTTCTGAATCTTTTGTAGTGGACAATGTGTACGTTTATAGTTCAGTTGCACACTGAGCTGGGTGTCCTCCTTCTACCAAGACTCTCTCAGGCTCACATCTAACAAAATAGTGTTTTGCTCTAGTCTGAGATTTAACTTATGCTTTAACTTACAGTGCTTGTGAATCCATCTAAATATTTTCTGGAAGTTTGATGTGTCTTTCCTTGTACTGGAGTAATAAATAGGAAAGACCATCAGAATTTTTCTGTTTAAAATAAATGAAGTCTATGTAATCTGTTACATTTTTTTTACTGGTTTTTCAGTCCGGTGTTGGGGTTTTTTTGTGATTACCATGGAATTAAAACTTATTTAATATTTTTATTGCTATCAGTGCTGGCAGTAGCTTGACCATTCTAAGTGCCTGACATGTCCAACAATATAATTTTGCTTTATACCCTCAAAGAAAGCCTTATTTAGAATGATTTATTGTTGTCACAACCCATACGGTAACTTTGTAATGTAGAGGTGAAGAACAGGAGCAGTGTTGTCCCCTACTCCCTCTGCTGTTGCACCAACTACAAGAAGCAGGTGGTACAGCAAGTACCTTCTACACAGGGTGTAGAAGAGATTCTGCAGTAGTGCACTGAGCAGTAATTTGCTGCTAATTGTTCAAGAACTTCTTTGTGGATGGGCCTGGCTATTAGCATTCCATCCCTCTGCACTGGAAAACTTAAGGACAGAGGTATTTTAGTTGCTAGGCCTTCTCTGTACTTCTGGCAGAAATTAAACATGCTGAAGTATTGTCTCCCATAAAACTGAAGCAGTTAAGCATTTTTGCCATATGAATTTTTATCAACTACGTACTCTTTATTGAACGTTTGAAGCAATGGTATGATATTTCTCCCTTTGCTACAGCACAGCTTCCCTCTGGGATGTTGGGAAGATGAAGTCTGTGTTTTGAGGGAACATTTGTTGACAGGAAAATAAAAATCACCAACCAAAGCTAGAATGAAATAGTTCCTTAGTCAGTTGCTATTTCAGAGTATTGCTGTGGAGGACGTCAGTTGCCAGGCATTCCCTGTAGTTCTTCTGTCCTGTTATTTTGAAGGCATTAAACTTATTTGGACAAATCTGCATCATTGAGTCTTGATCTTCCTTACTCTTTGAGACATTGAATGCTGTGACCTTTTTCAAGAGCTCCATGAGTTCTTTAGCATTGCTTGTTCTTCGATTTTATTGGTTGAAAAAGGAGTCTGCAGTGGAACTGGGGTGTGTTCATTCCGTTGTGTAATGCTCACTTAAGATCTTTCACAAAGAAACTTTATTTTCTCTGGCAGAGCTTTTATCTCAGCTGTCAGGCGTCAGGCGTTCTGCGGGAGGACAGCTCAACTCTTCTGGCCCTTCTGCTTCTCAGTTACAGCAGCTGCAGATGCAGCTGCAGTTGGAGCGACAACATGCACAGGCAGCAAGGCAACAACTTGAGACTGCGCGCAATGCAACGAGACGCACCAACACCATCAACGTCAGCACCACTGTGACACAATCTACAACAACAACCAACACATCTAACATGGAAAACAGTCAGCAGACTATCCAGAATTCGCAGTTTCTTCTTACAAGGTAACTTGTTCTGTGTTTTTGCTTGAATCTGCCTTTTACAGTTTGTTTGCTCTAGTCCCAATAGAGATGTAGAGCTCAATGAAAAGTGTCTGGAGTTAGGTGCACACCCTAGTAAAGCAGTGTCCAATCAGTAACGTCCCAGAGTTAGCCAGCTAATTTATCATACAGGATGTATTCACAGTAGATGCCAACAGTGGTCACAGGATGTGTAATAGATAACATTTCATCCGCATTCCTAGCATGAGAATTAAACTGATCGTTTAATATCCAAGTGTAGCAGATTATGGCCGGCCCATGCTTTTGAAAAGCCAAATCCAGGATCTGGCTGCACAAGCACCCTGCCATGGTCTAGTGTTCGCAAAAAGGAGAGGCAGTCTTACGGGACAGCTGCACTTTCTTTAATGCACCTAGGAATGTGTTTCGAGGATTGGACTTGAGTATGGATTTCTGCAAACCTTGGAAAGGAGGCTGATCTTGATTTTTGGCTGAACAAGTTACTTAAGACTCTGGGCAGGGGACTTCTGCCAGATCCTTCATCATGTCTGTAGGGGACACACTGCGCATTTGTTTGCATTTGTAGCATCTTTTCAAACCTGCTGTCTGTCTGCTCCTGAGCAATGGGTAAACATTAGTTGCTGATTCTCAGCCTCAGGAGGAACAAAAGGACTATTTCCTAACTAAATCGTGCAAGTTCCCCTTACTACTTCCAGCAGAGCAAGTGCATTTCCAGTGATACAAGCATACAGATTTGAGCCGTAATGGGAGGAGTCAGGAGACAGTATTGTTTAATGGAAAATTCATCTTTGGTAAAAGCCGACGGTTGAATTAGGGGTTTATATATTAATTATTTTAGAGACTGGATAACAGAGAACATAAAGGAAGCCACGAACTAACAGAATACTTACCTGGTTTAGAGATTATACTCAGATCCCAGGGTGATATTAAAGAGGAGTCACCCACTGCGTCATTCCAGTTCTTTTAGAAGGATGCCTGTTGACCTGAAACAATGTTTTTTGCACCCTCCCTGCCACACCCCCCCATACACACTTTTGTTTGTCTGCTGGGTATGGTGAAAGAGGGCAGGCTTTTTAATAGCTCCTGTGTCAAGAAACCTGGACTTGAGTCAATCTGATTTTTATCTAGGTGCAGAATAATATCACATGACATCTTTCAATTGGAAATTCATTATTATTTGAGAAACGAAGTGCCTGCGAGTGCCACAGGTTGTGACTTTCAGAGTTGGAGCGAGCCATCTCCTTGCCTGTCAGCACAGTGATGGAGAAGTGATGGAATGGGTGTTGCATCCTGCTTTGGGAATCCTTGGGCTTTACACATGCAGCAGGACTTTGTGGCGTAGATGAACTTAGAAGTTGGCTTGGAAGCAAAAGGGGCACATGATGGCTGTCTAGGAAAACACAACAGCACTCCCTAAAAGTGCATAGCGGGAAGCCTCACAAATAGTGTTTTATTTTTCCTGTCACCTTGGGCTCCATACCGAACGCTGCTGTAGTGTCAGGGAATGAGCGGTTTGTTAAATGCACGCCCACAGTACGGAGGTGTGGGAGGTGGCCAGAGCTGCACATGTCGGGGAGTGAGCAGGACTGTCCTGAAAGGAGTGTGTTCAGAGTGCCTTTTGGCACCTGTTGGTAGTGTCGCCGGTGAAACAGTCTTTCACCAACCGCCTGTCTTCTCTTCCCTTGCTGCTGCACAGGTTGAATGAACCGAAGATGTCGGAAGCGGAGCGTCAGTTGATGGAAAGCGAACGGGCAGACTGCAGCCTGTTTGTTCAGGAGCTTCTACTGTCCACTTTGATGCAGGAAGAAAGTTCCTCCTCCGATGAGGATGAGCGGGGGGAGATGGCAGATTTTGGTGCTATGGGCTGTGTAGATATTATGCCTCTAGATGTTGCTTTAGAAAACCTAAATTTAAAAGAGAGTAATAAAGGAAACGAGCCTCCTCCACCTCCTCTTTGATGACATCCCACTTTGCAGACAATGTCCTCTGTGCTGTATTTGCCAATGAAAGTGGACAACAACTATCTTGGGTTTGTTTTGGTGATTGTAATTTCAGGTCTGTCACTCTTGTTACATTGTGTACATTCAAAAAGAAAGAGAGAAAAGATATATATGATAATCATTTCCACTTAACTAATTTTTACTTTTAGCAGGTAAATGTAGGTTGCAGTCCAGAGCTAAGAGCTCTGTGTCCTGTACCTTGACATGCAAAAGGCTCTCCTAATACTCCACATTCAAACTGAAGAAGAAAAGGAAAAAAAAAAAAGAAAAATCTCTAATGAAGCTGCTGTGTGTATTTATGAATATTAATGAATAAAAACTGCTTGGATGGTTTACCTTAACTACTGCATGACATTTTTTGCAGCATGCATGAGTTTCAGTGACCTTGTCATTTAAAAAATTTAAATGCAGGGAGTAAAAACTACGAACCCCAAAGCTTTCCTACTACTCGGAGATTACGTGGCAGGACGGTTCATGCTGACTAGCCGTCTGTGGCCACAGAGTAGCTTTTGAATAATACATGAGAGAATGACATGGCTCTGTGCTGTTCCCGCACAGGACCGAGGCTGCTGCGGGATCACCACCAGGGAGTGGCATTGTGCTGTATGCGACCCTTACGTGGCCCTGTTAGCCATCACCTCAGCGTGGAGTCAAACTCTGTTTTATGCATCTGTAGGAGGCACACCAGTAAGGCCACAGCTGGGAGCTGCTGCGAGGGGCTGTCGTGTGCCCTGGTGTCAAACGGTGTTCGCTTTCGTTTTAAGTTTTTCCCTTTTTGTGGTTGTTAAAAATTTTTTATTGTTGAATATGTTTTATTCAGGTGTAGACAATTCATATATTCACCGTGGGATTTTTTTTTTTTTTCAAAAAAAAAATTAACCTGAATCATGATGTCTTAGTTTAAAAAGCCTTTCACAGTCTCAATCGTATTTTGAGCAAGTTATTTATGCGTTTGCTTCCTCGTTTGCAGAGACCTGTCAGTATCATGAGAGCTTGAGGATTTGGATTCCCGAACTGTCAGTATATTACAACCGAATTCTTGAATGTTAACTTTAGCACCTTTTATTTATTGTTTCTTTTGGTTATTTTTCCTGGTACAAAAAAGCTGACAAAGCCTTTTAGTTGGATGGTGCCACCTCCATGCTGATACTGTTAACCCTGCTAATTTGGGGGGAAAAAAAAAAAGAGCATGGTGTTTTGGTGCATAGAAGTTTACCGCAGCCCAAAGACCAGGGCTGAGGTGGGATGTTAGGTTTGGTTTTCTTTCCTCACCCCTTTTCTCAGTTTTCTTGAACGTAAAGTTAGATTATAAAAGCAAAAGTGCACACAGCTTCTGATGAAAAGTCTGAACTGGGCTTATGTCATAGTGGTGTCCTCCCAGACCCTTCTCAGCTCCTCCCCTCTCTTTCTCTGTCCCCTTGCGTCTCTGCAGCACCGCCGGTGTGTTAGCGCAGACTGACAGACGTCAGTGCTGGAGGGTGTTCTGGGCACAACGACGGTGCGTATGCTGCCCCAGAGTTACAGCAGCGAGAGAAGCTGCTCCATAGGCTGACGTTTTAAGTTCCGTTCCTCTCTGTTTCTTTTTTAAATCCTCAAATCCTGAGTGTTCCCACATAGAGCAGTCCTAGTTTTGCTTTTCTTCTAGTCTCTGTGAAAGAAAATGGTTCAAGGGGAAACAACGTGAGGCCTGCGGTTATCCTGAGAGTTACCCCCAGCAGGGACTTTTTCTATTGATTGAAAAGACTACAGCTTGAAAAATCTTTTAAAATCCTCAACAAACACATCTTCTGCACATTACGATTAGACACGCAGTTCAATAAAGCATTTTCAAGACTGTTGTGCAGTTGATTTTTCTTCGTATTACCCAGACAGTTCTGTTTCAGAATTTTCTGCAGCCGCCTTTAATTCCAGCTGCGTTCAGAATCCGCTCATGCAGAAACGCCGGGTGGTTTCCATCAGCGCCCCTCAAAGCTGCATGCTTTGGCGGGGAATGAAGTCTGTCATCCCCAGCTCCCCACAGGTAGGTGAACTCCAGTTTCTGCAGAACGAGATGCATTTAAAATGGCCTCCACTTGCTGTGGTGCGGTGAGTGACTTCCCAGCCCCGCCCTGCCCCACGGGCGTGGGAGAGGATGGGGACCAGCACAGTCCATGTTCCCAGGCCGAATATAAGCTGAGGGATTCGGAGCTGCTGTTGGGCGTCACGGTAGCTGTTATAGATCTTCTGGTGTGTGTTTGGGGTTTTTTTAGAAAAAATAGGGTATGGCTGCTAGGAAGGTGTTTAGTCCAGCTGCCTGCCAGTTCCTGCCTGCCAGGGAGCCTGTTTTCGTTTGGAGAATGAGCTTTCCAAAATGTGTGACCTACTTTCAAGGTGCTCTGGGCCTACAATGGAAAGAGCCTTCCGCAACGGAGCAGGAGAACCATGTTGGGGGTTACTGCCCCTTCCCTGTGGGGGGACCAAAACCACACTGCCCCCCATCTCAACCCCATCCCAGACGCCATCCTGACACCCCCCTCTTGGAAGGGAGGGCCTTGGTACTTGGCATTTGCAGAATTCATGGAGCACGGTAGAGCCTGTGGGACGCCAGCGTGTGCCGGCCCTTGGTGCGGCAGCGGGAGCTCTCCCGCAGGTTCTGGTGCCAAGTGCCTGCTGCTCTGAGGTTCAGGCTCAGAGCTGGGCTGGGACAGGACCCCGTCGGCCTGGGAGGTGCATGCATTTGGCCAGGTTGTGCCCGTGCCCCGCTGTGGTGCACGGCATTCCCTGGGTCACTGCTGGGGCACTTGGGCCACCATGCCTTCCACCCAGGCACTGCTGGGGAGAGTGTGCCAGCTTCCCTGCTGCCGCCAGCCTTCAGCAGGTAACTGGACTGCTGTCAGCCAGCTTCTTAGGGAAGGCTGCAGGGGGTGTGGTCCTTGCCAGTCCTTCCCAGCAGCTGAAGGGATGTGCAGACTTGGGCATTGGGGAAGGAGTCCCACTGGACTGTCTGGGGAAAACTTAGAATTGCACCATGTTCTGTTTGTGAATTCTGATCTGCTTCAGTCTGGGGTCTGTTACTTGTTCCTCTTTGGGCCTAATGCCAGAGACTGACATGCACCTGGGGGAGTGTGGTGAGCAGCAGAAATGCTTTCTAACTTCATTCACCTCGAGTTTGAGCTGTGGCTGTTGCCCTGGCTTCACCAGTTCCTGGGGTGTTTGGGGGTGGAGGTTTCTCGTTCGTCCTCTGCCCTTCTCCCAGGAGGGGTTTGTACAACCATCCTTGGCAAGGAGTTGTGTTCCCAGGGAGCTTGTGGGTATCGTAGCTTGGCCCAAAACCCATGCATCGAGATGTGTGCACGTTGTGAGATGTTCGTCTGTTGGGAAGGGGCAAAGGCCGTTCTCTTGCCAGCCAGAAATCCTGGAGGCAGAGGCTCTGCTGCCTCCTGGGGCTCTCAGAAGACCTGAGGCAGGGATGCAGTGGACATGTTTGGTATGCGAAGCCTTTTCCAGTTAAGTCATCTCATCTTTTCCCTCACATACCTGACCTGGATCTGCTGCCTTTGCCAAGTAAACAGCACGCCTTGCTGTTTTGAGGCCCTTCTGCTCTTGTGGCCCTGAAGGCCGTAGGGACAAGTGCCTGGCACCGGTGGCAGCTTCCCTGCGCTCTGCTCTGTCCGACGTGGCCGGGCAGACTGGCAGTCTCCTCCTCGGTGGCCCTCACAGCCCCTACAGCCTCCCACGTGTCCCTTCTAACACAGCCCTGGTTGTGGCCTCCAGCAGGAACATCCACAAGCAGGATACAGTGGTGACCCTGCAGCTGTGGGGGGTGTAGGAGAGGCACCACCTGGGGCTCCATCTGCCCTTGTTGGGCCACCAGCTGCGGAGGGGCAGGGTGAGGTGGGACACACCTCCTCCCACCCTGTGGGGCATAAGGACTAGGGTAAATGGTGCAGCAAGGTGACTGTGGCCTTGCGGAGCTGGTGTGGAGGAGTCTGAGGGATAGGGAAGGGGGGTGGGATAAGGGATGCAGGTCAGTGCACACTGCAGGTGAGGAAGCTGGGAAGTACAGTGAAAGGCAGGAGAGGTGTGCAGGGGGGAGCAACCGGACAACAGAGAGGATGGATGGTGTCAGAGGCAGATGCTGCAGACCAAGGTGAAGAGGTGGGACTGGGCATGCAGAAGGGCAGAGTGAAGCGCCATTGGCTGTCCCTGCCTCCACCTTACACTGCCTTCAGTGCACACTGCAGGTGAGGAAGCTGGGAAGTACAGTGAAAGGCAGGAGAGGTGTGCAGGGGGGAGCAACCGGACAACAGAGAGGATGGATGGTGTCAGAGGCAGATGCTGCAGACCAAGGTGAAGAGGTGGGACTGGGCATGCAGAAGGGCAGAGTGAAGCGCCATTGGCTGTCCCTGCCTCCACCTTACACTGCCTTGCCTGGAACTCTCCCCTGCTCTGGCTCTCCTGCCCTGGCAGCCAGCAAACACCCGTCGCTCTCCGGGCAGTGCCCAGCCATGGCAATGCCCTCCTGCTGCTGCGGCTGCTGCC